ACAGCTTCCTTGGGCAACCTGGGACACTGTCTCACCACCCTCACAGTGAAGAATTTCTTCCTCACATCTCAGCTCCATCTCCCCTCTGCCAGTTTCAAGCCATCACCCCTTGTTCTGTCACTCCCTGCCCTTGGCCAAAGTCCCTCCCCAGCCTTCCTGGAGCCCCTTCAGGTACTGGGAGGCCACTAGAAGGTCTCCCCAAAACCTTTGTTTCTCTAAGAAAAGCTCAGCCCTGTGCCCAGACAGACAAGCCAAGAAACACCGGGGCACAAGGACCCTCTGCCACCCCCCTGAGAGCCACACGATGCTCCCTGGATCCCAAACCCCAAAGAAAACAGGGGGCAGATACTCCCTGGGGGTCACATCCCCACGGGGAGGGGACGGAACCCGGTCACGGCACCAACCTACCCGGCGTGAAGAGCGCGATGGCTTTGAGGCAGCTGTACTCGGCCAAGTCCACTTGGAGCCGGTTGAGCTTCTCCACCTGATCCTGGAAGATGCGGATCTGGTCCATGAAGGAGACGACGCGGTCGGCTGACATGGGGGAGGCGTGGAAACCGGCGGCGGCCAACAAGGGAGCCATGTGTAACGGCAACGCCGACTGCGCCGCGTTGAGGACGAAGAGCTCGCTCCAGCTGAGCCGGAGCAGGGCGACTTGATCGGAAACGGGAAGCTCGGGGAAGAAGGGGATATTCCGAGCCCACTCCACCGTGCTGAAGAGCAGGCGGGCGGCCAGCTCGCAGATGTTGTCGATGCCCATGATGCTGCCTTGCTGCGCGTACTGCGAGCCGTAGCGGGCGGCGGGGTAGGGCTCAGCCCGCAGAAGCTGTGAGATCAGCTCTGATACTGGTTGCCCGTTGAAATATTCACCGCTGGGCATAGTGTTGGGACTGGTACTGGAATGGGTGGGGGGGATCCGGCCCCGCTGCACGGCTGAGGAGAGGAGAGGAGATGAAAATGAGAGGAGATTGAAAGGCTGAGGGAGCTGGGGCTCTTTAGCTTGGAGAAGAGGAGACTGAGGGGTGACCTCATTAATGTTTATAAATATGTAAAGGGTGAATGTCATGAGGATGGAGCCAGGCTCTTCTCAGTGATGCCCAATGGTAGGACAAGGGGCAATGGGTGTGAGCTGGAACACAGGAGGTTCTGCTTCAACTTGAGAAGAAACTTCTTTCCAGTGAGGGTGGCAGAGCCCTGGGACAGGCTGCCCAGGGAGGGTGTGGAGTCTCCTTCTCTGGAGACATTCAAAACCCACCTGGACGCCTTCCTGTGTGATCTCATTTAGGTTCCTGCTCTGGCAGGGGGGTTGGACTGGATGATCTTTTGAGGTCCCTTCCAATCCCTGACATTCTGTGATTCTGTGAGATGTTTGAATCCATCCTGCTGCATCCCTCATCCCGTTCCCACGGAGCACGCGGGGTTCCCTCTGCCTGGTGCAGGGTGAGGAAGGGTGGGGATGCTCCCACCACCCATCCAGCATCCCAGCATCCCCAACTGGGATGGATACTGCCATCCCAGGGAACAACGAGCAGCTTTCAGGAGGTGGCACATGCCACCTGGTGAGCTGCCAGCACGCTGCCGGTGGTGAGAGCTGCACTAATCTAGTTATCATCCCTGGGATTATCATCACCAGCAGCTCCCAGGCTACCAGCACCACAGCTTGGCCATGGCCTCTGACCACAGGGCACCATCTG